TGATCAAGGCATCTCCAGCCGTTGGTGAGGAAGGTGAAATACCGAAGAATAGTCTGCTCCCTCTGAACAGAGCTCTCAATAGAGCGACGCAACTCAAATGCCTGGAAGAAATTCCCTTTGCAGGAATAGGTGGCAGCTACAGCATCCCAAACATCCTGAACAATCTCCATAGACAAGTGGTCCTCACCAATATCTGGAACCATCGAATGAATAAGTCAACTCATAATCAAAGAGTTAGTAATCTCCCCTTAGTCATACCCCATGTCAGTGGTGCTGGGTGTCAGTATCCTGCCATCTACATACCCCATCTTCCCTCTGCTTTTCAAAAGTATAGTCAAACTCTGCGACCATGAAAGATAGTTCTGACCATTAAATAGAGAGGTAGTGATTTTAAGACTAGGATTGGGGTTATCAGTCATAGTAGTAGGTATAGGGAAACTCTCACTCCTAGGTGTCTGAGAAATAGTGGACACACCGGTGAAATTTGCCATAGATACTGTACTACCAAACTCTCAACAAAACCAATGCCAATCACAAACCCGAAAGGTGGAGGAATAAAACCAAAATGACCACTAAGAAAATTAAAGACCTAAAAATTCATGAAATTTTTTTTTTTTTTTTGTTACTGCATTTTTTTGTTTTGTTTTGGTTTTTTTTTAAGAAAACAGAGACAGACTGATAATAAAAAGAGAAGAAGGGAATATAAAAAATGACAAAGCAAGAAAGAGGGAATCAAAAATGACTATGGCTGTCGAGGCTACCAGAGGAGGTGACGAGGTCTGTCGAAGCTATCAGAGGTCCCGACAAGGCTGGGACAGCCAGTAGGGAGGGGCAACGAGGCCAGGAGGCCTGGCAGAGAAGACCAGCAACGCTGGGTAGCCTACAATAGCGAATAACGAGGCTAGGGCTGCCCCTAACAGGCTTCAACAGCAACTGACTGGGCCAACAAGCCCTTCGGCAGTAACCGACAGGGCTGGGGAAATGAGGTACACCTAGCGAAACTAAATGGGTGGCTATGTGGTGGGGTTGGGGTGGCTGACGGGTGTGGTGGAGGAATTTAGGGTTGTGGCTCTAATACCATGATAATTTTAGAGAATTCAAGATTAGGGAATAATTAGGATATCATCCCCTATTTATATTAATGAAGATTAATAATTACAAGGGAGCCCTAAGCCATAGAATAATTACAAAATAATAACCAAATAATAATATATTATGTTAACAACACAGACTCGAGTATGAGTATCAGGTGCGGTGCGTATCTAGGGGTCGGACATTTCAACATTAAAAATTAAGGATACGTGGATATGGATCCAAATTTGGATATGATTACGGGGATACGTTAAATAGTTTTTTTTTTTAAATATATTTATTATTATATGAAGATGAATTTAAAAAAAAATAAAGAATAACAAATTTTGTTAAAAAAATAACAAATAAAATATAAATAATAAATGAAAATTGTTTTAGGCATAAAATAAATTATATTATATATGATAAAATAAATTATTTTTATTTTAGACATAAAAATTATAATATTTATAATATATTATATTATACAAATATTATTCAATTTTTTATGACTGAATATATTATATAATATGAATAATATTATATATTATTATATTAATGTAATTCATATTATATAATATAAATGTAATCAAAAGGATAAGAAAAGAGAACAGAAAGCTGACACAAAAAGAAGAAGAGAGAAGTCACAGATGAGAAGAGAACACAGAGAAGAAAAGCCACAAAAAAAAGAAGAGAGAGAGAGACAAAGACAGAGAGTAGAAGGAGATCGAGAGGAGAGGAAGAGGGAGATCGAGATTAAGAGACAAGAGGAGAGGGAGAGAGAGATCGTGAGACGGGAGAGAAGACAAAGAAGGAGATCGAGCATCGAGCGAAAGTCGAAGCAAGTAACCAGAGGGATCGAAGTCAGCAACCAATGTCTTCACCCTTTCGAACAGCGACCAGGTTCTTTCTTACTCTCTCCTTTTTCATTTCATTTTCCGTTGTTTGTAAAGAGCCATGTCTGAGAGAAAAGAGGAGAATTCAACACAAATCCTACACCCGCACCCATGTTGTGTCGTGTCGACACAGGTACTTCGTCCCAAAGTGCCGAGTTCGTGTAAAATAGATGAATGGTGCCAATACGGGGGTTCTATAGAGAGAAAGATCAATAAAGAGAGGTAGCAGTGAATATGAGGATGGTCTTGAGGAAGAAGAAAATGGTGTTTGTGTGCAGGTTAATGATGGGGTGAGGTGTTTGGTTATGGGGATTGGAAAGGCACTTGTTTCTTTTGCAATGGTGAAAAAGGGTAGTTTTGGCATTTAAAGGCTCAATATTGCTGATAGAACAAGATTCCGTTAGCACCCATAACGATTATTTAACTAAAGGGAGATCTATGTATATTGTCAAAAAAAAGTAAGGTGGTGCAGTATAATTTTTAGAAACCACAAAGAAGGTTCACGTAATCGTTAGACACCTCTAGAGAGGCCTATGTAATTATCCATTTTTAGTTTAATTTTGAATTTCCTGTACTCATGCAAATTTACATATAGGAATGAATAGAAGAAAAGTTTTTGGGATTAATAATATTGCTATACCATAACAAAAGGGTAATATATTTCACAACGTGCAGCATGTTTTAGTAACTCTAGTTTCTAGTCTGCATTTTACATTTTACCATAGAGGTAAAATGTAAAATATGGCTTTTGTCAATGTGGGGCTCAACATATTATCATGCCATACAAATTGATTTAGATTTGGGAATCATGTGATTTGTTTTATAATTGGATAGATTCATCAAGATCACTTGCAATATAAAACACAACCTAGTAATTCACATTGGCACGAGATCACATTAAACTAAATCATAAGATTCAAAATGTGAATCATAATGTATTAGTTACTATGCCCTCTGGCCCTAGTTTTGGAAGGCATGTAAGTCACTTTTGTGCTCCCTTTCATTGTTTCTCTTCTCTCTTTTCCTCCCCTTTCTCGCATGAATGAGAATTGCAGAAGATGAAATGCACCCTTTCTATTCATCAAGAGGTAAAATTTGATTAAAAACTATTAAGATATTGCCAATCTAGTAGAATTACAAAAGCTAAAGTTGAGTTTTTCCTAGCAAGAGGGAATTGATATATTTTAGTTGATATGGAATGTATAATAAGATGATTGTCAATCAATGTAGTCTAATAATTAATCATAATAGAAATTCCTTCTCTTTTTGAAAGATATTAATGTAATTCCATAAGTTTAGATATTCAAACAATTTTAAGAATGAGTCCGAAGTTTTATTCGTTACCACATAAGTTAAGAAGATTTTTTGCCAGTTTTAACTTTGTTTTTACAAATTGTGAGCCTACAAAAAAGGCTTTGCTAAATTACCCCAAGGCACATAAAAATGAACACACAGCACATGACGAGCTTTGTGTGTGTGCGTGTTGTGTGAAAGCTAAAACATATATGTGAGGCATAAAGTTGCTTTTGCTTCACCACTTCTCTCTCCTCCTCTCTTTGTTTCTCCCTCTTCGTCTCTTCTAAAGATGAGGCTTAAAAGATGCAGTCCACACTATCTCTCATACTCTCTCCATACTCCTTAATATATGTTGTTGAAAAAGTGGTCCAGCACATGTTTGAACAAATTCTCGTGAGATCCAAGTTACATGAAAATCTTAGATGAATAAGTCAAATAAAAATACATCACTATTCCGAGAGATTTAAATTCGCCAAGTCTGCAAGTAATGCAGGGCCTCTATTTTCTAATTCTACCAATCATGGCTGGTCATACTTTGGACTTGAATTTATGTAATTTTTGTCACTTATTATTTTTTACTTTTGCTTCACTTTTGCCCTAGCTCATACAATTCAAGGTTGTTTCCATAAAATCCTACACCATACTCCTGATGTTATGTTAGAATTCACCGGACCTCATCAGCCATCTTATCTTTTCAGCTAAATTACATGGACACCCCTTAAGGTTTGCACTTAATACAGATTCCCCCCCCCCCCACCCTCATATTTTGAAAATTACAACTTCCTCCCTGAGGTTTAAAATCACATTACAAATCGCCCCCTCCATTAACAATTTTTATTGATGTCAACCGTTTATTTTATTTTATTTTTTTGGCAAATACCAATTTTGGTTGTTGATTTGGTGGTGATGGGTTCAATGCTTGTGGTACAAAGAGCATGTGGAGAGGGATAATGGAAAGAGCCAGTGCGTGGGAAGTTTGTGGTGTGGGAAGAAGAGTTTGTGTTAGGGTGGAGATACTGAGGATAATTAGGTAATTTTTATTTTAGAATGTAAGGTTAACAAAGTAATTTTACATTTTCTATTAACCCAAATAAAAGACAAACACTGACAGGGAACGAAGTGTAACTTTTGGAACATTGACGAGACATCCGTATTAAACACAAACCTTAAGAGTGTCAGCATAATTTACCCAATATTTATGTTTTCTCTTCAATACCTCATCAACACCAGCAGTCAATTTATACAAAAACCAGATTTGGCTACGTATTAATTGAAACTGTAAACAAATGACTGTTGTACAATCTGAACAAACCCTAACAGAACCATCATGAACATACACAAAAACTAATGATGGAGAAATTCCATAAGAATATACTAGCTCACAAAATTATAAATAAACAAAAAACAACATCGTGAAAAGATGGATGAAAGGAGAAAAATTCCTAAAGCTCAAAATAAAAATTATTTCCCATAAGACTCAAAGATAAAATGATATTTGTACTGATGACAAAAGATACATAGAAATGCACAAAATAAGCATCATCAAGAAAAACAATAACATGTAAAACCATTATTAGTCAAATTAAGAAAACAATCAACCACACAAACCCAGAAACAACCTGCAATCAATAGCTATGATCAATCCATAATTCAAAAAACCCAGAAAAATTGACAAGACCTAACCCATAAAATTGAATTAGAACTTCAAGAATTGGCGGAGGAACAAAAATCACTAACCTCCATCCCAAGGTGTATCATCAGGTCTACAAATCAAAAACAAAAACAAAAACAAAAACAAAAAACAAATCAAAATCGATAGATATAGACAGATAATCGACAGATACAAAAAAGGGTATTTGATATGTACCCAAAAATCACAGCGTTCCACAACATGATATTGTTGTCTTGAGGAGCACCACTGATTCCGGCGGGTGGATCTTGCTGCAACCTCTTGAAATCCCTCATCAGCCTCTTCCTCGCCGGTGTCGACATTTTTGCCTCTGGTTAATTCAACAATAAAAGTGCCCTATATATGTGTAGATATATATATATAGACAGAGAGAGAAGATCTGGCAGAATCTAAGAGAGAGTCATCACATGAGAGAGATAGAGAGGGGGTTTGGGCTCTGTCTGTCTGTTAACAGGTCAACCAGGTCCACCCCCCTTGTGTCATTGTTGATTAATTATAAATTAAACTATGGGAAACTACATCTACCCCCATACACTTTATAATTAAAAAAAATTGGCATAATTTTATATTTTTTGAATTATAATTAAAAAAAATATTACAACTAAAAATTTAATGAGTTATGATTAAATAATATTATAATTAAAGAAGAAAATTAATCATAATTATAAATAATAAAAAAAAATAACTAAAAATGTATACGGTAAAGACACGCATATTAAAAAATCCATTAAAATATCACTTTATTTATTGAAAAATGATTTATACAGGATTGTTTGGAATGATTTAAATAAGCGCACTTTTTTACTTTTTATGAAATATGGATTGGGTTTAAAGTGATGTATTAGAGAGGTGATGTAACTCAAATAGAATGATATGACTTAAATAGGATAGTAACTTTTAACTTTTTAATTTTTTTCAAACATGTCAAATCAATCCTTAAACTCGCTCGAGTTGCTCAATTTATGTAAGTAAGACAATCAACTGAATGATCAATATCACCGTTATTAACCATAACTATCGCCTTTGTCAATTGCTATCGTCATTCTTGTCAATCGGCATCTATCAGATGACCAATATCCTCTTAAATAATCGATGTACATAAATTCAAACGATTCAAGTGAATGCAAATTCAATGATGTGACATTATTGTTATTTATTTAGAGACATTTATAAACAAACAAATATTAGTTCTTCAACTATAAGAATGGACACTCGGACAAAAAAAAAAAAAAAGTAGAAAAACTATGACTTATTTTGGGAAGATGGTAAAAAGTGACTTTTTAATTTTTAACAAAGTTTTTGACTTTTTTAGACAAATGATTTGGAAAGTTAGTAAAAAGGTGCTTTTGACTTTATTTATTAATATTTGTTTATGATGTCAAATCACAATAAAATGACCAAATTACCCCTAATTATTTCAAATATTTATAATTTCATCCATGTAGCACATTTTGACCCATGAGGGGTAAAATTGTAATTTTGCCATCGGCTAAAAACTAACTTCTCAAATGAAAAAAAAAAATAAAAAAATAAAAAAATCAACTTTTAACTTTTGCTACTAACCTAAAAAAGTGACTAAAAGTCATATTGCCAAAACACCCTTATAAAAATGGGCACAGGAAGAGTTGGCAGTCCTCGCCCGCCCCCGTTCTCGCTTTATAATCATATGGGGAGCAGATCAAATCAAATTGGCGCAGAGAGGAGGTGAGGCAATGCGAGGGCAAGTTAATTTTAGGGCAAATTACATAACCTCTCTCGAGGTTTAACAAAATTACATATATTTTTTGAGGTTTGAGAAATTACAGATACTCCCGAAGGCACTATTTGCATAGCAAATTAGGGGACAAATTGTTATGAAAATATAAATCTCAGTGGGCAATTTGTTATGAAAATATAAACTTAAAGGGGTATCTGTAATTTCTGAAATCTCAAGGGGATATCTGTAATTTAGCTAAATCTCGAGGGAGGTATATGTAATTTGCCCTTAATTTTATAAATTAAAAAATACAAGTATTAATAAAAAAATTATAAATAATATATTATATTATGAATAGTATTTTAATAATTGACGAGAGTTCCGACTCCTCTCCCCAGCGGCGACGACGCGATCTCCTCTCCCCAGCGACGACGGCGAGTGCGATCTCCTCTCCCCAGCGACGACGGCGAGTGCGATCTCCTCCGCGGCAGTACGCACACCCGGCGTCATCTCCTACTCCGGTGTCATTCCATCTCCTCCATACCATCGCAGATCTTACATCTCACATCTCAGATCTGAAAAGATCAGATCCTCCGCTGTCCTCTCCCTCCTCCCAGATCTCGCCGATCTCCATGATCTGTTAACAGATCATCTATCTTTTTTTATTTATTTTTTATTTTTTTTTTTGGTGATGATGTTGCTGTTGCTACCTTGAATCGATGATCTTGTTGAAGATTTTTTTTTTTTTTGATGATGTTGCTCCGTTAATTAATTTGTTGATGAATTTTTTTTTTTTTTTTGATAATGTTGCTGAATGATGTTGTTGATGATGATTACGGGGATTTTCCGGGGTCGGGGAAACCCGATCCCCGTTGGGGACGGGGGTGGGGGGAGTGATGAGTTCCCCGTCGGGGATCGGGGCCGGGGACGGGGATTTTTGTAGTTTCGGGGATCGGGGACTCTCTCTCTTCTCACATTCTATACATTAGTCAATAATAATAATAAAAAGTACAAATCATCCCAAAACTATTTACAAAACTTATAATCAAACTAATTTTCTCTTTTCAAATTATAATTCAAAAACTCAAAACACAACTCTAAACTCAAATCATAATTCTAAATCTAAACCAAACAGACCTTAACTCATCCCTGCCTCACTTTCTTATTAAAGTAGGAAAAATCCATGCAAGACAAAGTGGGGTGGGGACAATGGGCACTAGGGATGGCAATTTGAAACCGGCCCGACGGGGACCCGACCCCCCGTCCCCGGTAAGAATGGTTTTTCCCCGAAAAATACCCCCGACGGGCCGGGGATGGTATTCAAAAATAAATCCCCGGTGACATTAATTAGGATTTTATACAAATTTTTTTTAAATTATTAAGAAATATTATTTTAACTTCCTAAACTATAAAAGCGTACAATTTCACTACTTAAACTATTGAGAAGTATCATTTTGTTTCTAAACTATAAAAGTGTACAAATTGATTCTTAACAAAAGGGGTTAAAATGAAAATAATTTGTATGTTTTTAATTTAATGACAAACTAATACTACTCAATAGTTTAGAAAATCCCTATATAAATAACCCTAACAAATGTTCTCTTTTGAAAAAAGGTCTAAAATAAGTGAAAATGTATGAGTTTAGTGATGAAAAAACAATGAAATAATATTAATTAATAATTAATATTCTAACAATTACTATCTAATATGTAGAACAGAGTGACTGTGAAGTGGGAAGATGTTAGAAGGGTTTTATAAATTTTGAAAAAAATTCATTTGAATATCAACTTCTGTATTTCAAAATTTAAATTCGATAGTATGTCTTTCTAATTTCAAGTAGACTGTGTATCTTTCTAATTTTATTGGTTATTTTGCCTCCGTTTGGAAAGTGGGTTGGCTTTTTGGCTTTTTGACTTTTTTGGCTATTTTAGTCTGGGCTTAAAAACTTTGTTTGGGAAGGGCTTTTTGGCTTTTTAGCTTTTTTGAATTTTTTTGTGAGAGAAGAATGTAATGATTATGGGTTGGATGTGATGTTTTGTTTGTTATGGCTAAAATAGCCTGTTTTATCTTTTGTGATTAAAATAACCAAAAAAGCTCAAGAATCAACTTGCCAAACAGAGGCATAATAATTCGCGAATTGTCACGTGACGGCTGGCTGGTTGCTAGTAAATAACTTGTGAGAGATGATAAATATGTCACCATGTGTGAGTGTGCATGACAGAAAAGAATATCCTATTTTGAGAGAAGAAAAATGCTTGGAACTCATTTTTTAGAGACTCCGTAATTTTTTTTTGGATCTTCTGGTTTTTTGGCTTTTTGGTTTTTTTGGCTATTTTAGCCTGGGCTTAAAAGCTTGGTTTGGGAAGGGCTTTTTGACTTTTTGACTTTTTTGAGTTTTTTTGTGAGAGAAGAATGTAATGATTATGAGTTAGATGTGATGTTTTGTTTGTTATGGCTAAAATAGCCTGTTTTATCTTTTGTGATTAAAATAACCAAAAAAGCTCAAGAATCAACTTGCCAAACAGAGGCATAATAATTCGCGAATTGTCACGTGACGGCTGGCTGGTTGCTAGTAAATAACTTGTGAGAGATGATAAATATGTCACCATGTGTGAGTGTGCATGACAGAAAAGAATATCCTATTTTGAGAGAAGAAAAATGCTTGGAACTCATTTTTTAGAGACTCCGTAATTTTTTTTTGGATCTTCATCTTTAATATATGTGTGAAACTCACTCATGTATATGTGGGATTCACACTATCAATAGTAGAGATCCAAAAGGATTGTGAGGGTCTCCAAAAAATAGGGATCTCAATCATTGTTGTTTGAGAGAATTTATTTTTTTGGCAGTTATATTAGGAACTTAAATATTTTTTAAATTTTTTCACTAAATTCTTATATAGATGTAGGACTTATGTACATATGAGTTTGTGTGGAACCTACACTTATACAAAAAGTTTAATAAAAAATTTAGTAAATTATTTAGAATTCATAACATTTTTTCTTTTTTTGCTCCTAAGGCAATAATTCATGTGATGCTCTAATTTAATATTGATTGATTAAAATAATAAAATTTAATAATTTTTGTTGAGTTTTTAAAAAATAAAATAATAAATATCAAATGATAAATGGTACAAAGAAATATTCTAAAATTACCAAATAATCACTCCTTTTTCCTCACTTTTTGCATCTTCTGTTAAATTGGCTATTCCATCCCATCGAAGGGTATTTTTGATAGGAATGAACATAAAAAAAAACAAAAAATAGTAATAATAATAAATTGGTCTAATTGAGTTTAAGTTATACGATTTAATGTGAGTTTCTATCACGATTGGTTTTAATTCTTAAAATAAATTAATCATAATTTGCGATTCGTTTTATAATTTTATAATTACCAATTCATTTTGAAGCTTATCTTAGATATATATATATATATGTGTGTGTAATTTGTTATTAAATTACAATAAGTGCTCAAATATCTTATTAATATAAAATATATAAAAATATTAACTCTTTCTGCATAATTGTAGAACTAGTTCTAAATAATCTTCTGAATAATTCTTAAGTTATGATCATGTTATGATAAAAAAAATTTCGATGGTAGTTTTAAATCAAACAGAACCACGTTATATTAGTTTGATTTCATGATTTTTATAAGGAAAATGTTTGAGGGCCACAATTTTTGTGGTCACAATGGCTCAAAACTTAGCATTGTTGTTTTTATAATTTGGTTTAGTTCCAAATTGGGTAATTTTATTTTCACACTCAATTTCTTTCAGTTCACAC